TTATAACTGTTTGATTATTCGAATTGATTAGTTGTTAATAAGCATATATTACAAATCAGAAATCAATCAGTTATTTACCTGATTGATATAAAATTATTAACAGATTGTTATCTATTTATTATTTTTGCTACTATATATTAAAAAAATGACTTTATAGATAAAAATGTTTATTAATAGGAATGACCGCCATGTATTTAATAGGTTTCTTTACTCCTATTACAAAATTACTGCTAACAAATTGACAATATATATTGTGAATAGAAATTATATTATCTCTGCTGATTTCGTAAAAATTATTCTTCTAAAGTTCAATATTATAGCTACGATCATCATTATTTTCAATTCGACAATAAACCTAATTTTCTGATGATCTACCAGTAAAAAATATCTAATAAAGGTTAAATAATAATTTTTAGTCTCATCCAAAAAATCAATTTTGTGTTCAAAATAAAATTGAACTTGGCCAGGAAATGTTTCTATAATACCATTACTCTAAACGAATTTTGCAAGAATTTGTGAATTCTTTGTGAACTGGGATGCTAAAGTTGATCCAAATACTTCTGCACCAATTCGAATACAGCCAAATTGATTTACATTAGGTATAACAACAATTAGTCGATCAGATGTAAATACTCTACTTTCAACTAAATCAGCAACTGATACAAATGTCATTTCATATGCATTGTTATAATATTCTATGAGTAACTTGTAAATATCATTTGGTAGGTTTACTTCAGACTTTTTTGGGGCAAGCATTACTCTAGAAAATGACTCACTACCAGCTATAGTGTCATTAATATTAAGATAACAAATATCTAAAAATCGAGACAATTCATCAATTTTAAATCCGTCATATGCTGCCAAACTTCTAACAGTTGGTTGAGATCGAATCAAATTCAATCCTTTTTTCAGTTTTTAATTTTCTGTTTGTTGAGAAATTAGATTATCTAATCACCAATTTTGTATTATAATATATAATAATTTTGGCTCAATATTACATTTACTATTAGGTAAAGATCTTATTAATAATATAAATAAATTAAATAAAATTTTTATTTTTGAAAATAATTAAAATAATTATTAAAATCACTTACACAATACTCCATTCATTCGTTCAAATAAATAACACCAGAATGAATAAAGTGGACTATAATCGAGACAACAGTCAGTAATATAAAGCAATAAGTGAATATTTAGCATTATAAATCCTAACCCATAATGTCTTTCGATTAAAAGAGCGACTTTTAACAATCTGGAATGTGCCTCCTTCAATGTATTATTATCAATAATGCGCGAGACTAGTAAGAAGCAAGCCCTAACAAAATTATCTAATATCTTCCGATCAAAATCTCTAAGAATATTCCAAATTAATGGTGTGGCATATATAAGAATAAAGTTTTTTTATTGATCTGCTGTAAATTCAAAAAGCCTTTACCAGTAGCGATTTTATTTGGAATTCTTTCAAAATCAAATGGTAATTTTATATTATTTGCTCTTTTCTATTTCTTCAAGTTGTTGGTTTGTAATTTTACCATTGTATATCTATAGTCTCTTTATTATCCACTGAGCAATACTGAGAAACAAGCAATGCATAAGATCAACTATTAGATATTTGATAGGATCATGATAAGGTAAGTGTAACATTTCAGACCATCTGGTTAAAGTAATTAAAATATGACAATCTCTTTCTTTTTCTGTTTGATAATACAACCAAGCTGTAGCATTTTGTCAGTGTTTATTTGGGTCTCTTGTTATAAACCAGTTTGCCATATTGTCAAATTTGTCATAATTTGCCCTTTTATTATTATCATTACTATTTGCCCATTTATAATACCTATGACATATCACAATAGCTGATATGTGTTCACATAATTTTCAAGCAGCGGAAATGTTATTTGAGCAGCAAATGACTGCTAATTGTATCCTTTTTCTATTTGAGAATTTGGATGAAACTGGCAAATCATATCCATTTCACAATTCCAATAATTCATCAATGATTGGAATAAGAAAATGATTAATTCAATGCTTTTTAACTTCTTGAGATCCTGACAATATTCCAAGAGTTAACATGTTCTTTTTTTTAAATCTTATTTCACGTGAAAGGTTACAAATAACTCCATAAATTACATCAGTACTATATACAGAAGATTCGAAAGGTTGAAACCAATCAAGATTTATCATTATTCCTAAATGAGAATCTGCAGTTTCTGGTGTAAAAAATCAGGAATTCAGATCCTTAAGAGAAGAGGGAAATGTTTTCCAAATTTTTCCTTCATATATATCAGACATTAATCCATTTCTCACATTCTGATTTATCCATTTTAGAAGTTGTTATTCAAAATCTGGGCATTGAAACATAGTAGCCAATTGGTTCTTCAAGTTAGACAAAGAAAATATTAACTTTGGATACCAGATATATCCTTGTACAATCAGAACCTTTTTCATTATTTCAGTTTCACAAACTTTACGATGATTTTACTTTGGATGAGTTGGAAATTCAATATAATCACACTTGAATCTGAATTTACTATTATATGCATTATGCAATTTATTGCAGTTGGGACATACTGCAAATATTTTTGTCTTTTCTCTGATTCCAAGCAGTTTTTTTGCTACATATGCTGATGAAGGAAATTTTTTAAATCGTCTTAAATCAACATCTAATAAAACAAGCTGAAAAAACTGGATTAATGAATTTATTGCTATATTTAAAAGACGAAACCTTTTTTAGTATTTAAAGATCCAAAGTAAAATCCACAAATCGTTAAAGCTAGTAGATTCGGGATTCAAATTGATATCTATATCATTTAAATCAGGAGCAGAAAATTGTTCAAAAAGATTTCTATCATCCTTATTGCTTAATTATTCTTCTTCTTCATGTAGGTATTTATCATCAGCTGATTGAAACCATTTTTTTTCACTTAATAAACTAAATGATCAGGTTTGTTTTTCTTCTTGATTTATGTTAATAATATCTGTATGTTGAAACTGATCATATCTTTTTCTAGGTTTTTATTTCTTCAATTTTCAATTTACTTCTTTATTATCATCAGATGAGCTTGTTGAACTGGAAGATAATGAATCGATTACAATTAGTTTAAAGTTTTTTCTAGAAACATTTGAAACTTCATGCATTTTATTGGCAGTTTATTTTGATGTATAAGAATGAGTTTCAAGCTGTTCTTCGAGGTTATTATGTCTTTTTCTCATTCTTGGATCAACTTCTTTACCGTTATATTGATCACAATAACAAGCAACCAGTTTTCTAGTTGTAGAATTAGATATTTTTAATTTTTCCTGCTTATACCTTTTAGTTTGTTTTTTATTAGAACTCCTTATTATATATTTGGCATTTAAACGGTTAATTTCTTTGTGTTAGAATTTCTTGTTGGATATGTCTAAGAGAGAGTTTATATATTTGCATAATAAATAACATTTGGCATTAATCAGTATATTGATTTCTTGATATTTTATTGATATCGTTATAATATATCAATCAACAAACATTTATATCAATCAATTAAAGTATTATATTGATTAAAATAAAATCTCTATATTATTTAATAACACATTTATACTTTAATCAGTATCACATTGATTTAAATAAACTCATCATAAACTATTTGTATTTAAGTTGATTTGCTGATGAATATAAAAGAACAATCTTTGGATTTTTTTTTTATTTACATCATTCTTTTCCTGATAAAATACAATATTAAATAAACGCATTCTCAATGTTTTAATACACTATAATACATATATATCATTTTCAAAATAAATATTTAGATCAACAATCTCCTTCATGAAGAAGAGGTCAGTCACATTCTTGTTCTCATAAAAAACATAAGAATAAATATCAGTAATGGCATCATTAATAATTGATTTACAATTATATTTATTTATAAACAATTTAAATACATACTTTGATATTTCTTGTATATATGATAGTTCTTCATTAGAATCGTTAGAGTTTTTATTATCAGAAATGACTCAATATGAAAAATATTTAAAAAAATATAGAAAAATCATAACGATAGATCAAGAAAGTATTAAAATGAATCAAATGTTAATCGTGGTGATTCAAAAAGAAATCATGATAATGATTAAGAAAAAGAACATGAAGATTTATCGAGAATGAGGAATTGTGATGAATCAGATATCATTTGTAAAGATAATTCAGAAAAAAGATACGAAGAAGAATCAAGAAGAAGAGTTGATGATAAATCAGGTATGATGATGAATCAAATATTAATTGGTATATAATGCTTACGAATAACGAGTACAAAGAATTACACTTCACCTTTATTTTAAAATAAGCTGTTATTAATTTACAAGTTGACTATCTTAAAGAAATGATTGAATCTATTAAACGAGAAAAGATACGAGAATTGCATCTAAATGAACTGTTACTAAATGAAAAGGAAGATATTATTAATACGAGTGTCAAATCAGGTTATAAAAGAACTTCTAAATATAATATGGCTGGTCCGTCAAATACCAAAGGTTCTAATTATGATGTGACTGGTCTATCCAACATTAAAAAGGGTTTCAGCTGTAATGATAATCTATCAAATAAATATTCACATTGATCATACTTCAAAACTGGTGAAATTATCGATAATGAATCATACTATAGAGCTAATAAAATTACTAATGATGTAGTTTCTCTTAATTCTGATACTTCAGATAAAGAAACGAATATACGAAAAGACAAATATCGTAAATATAAATAAAAAGAAAAAAAACATGAAAAATATCATCTTCCAAAAATACCCAATTACATATATACTTTAGACATAGACAAAAACCTCTTAACAGCATTAAGAGTAAGTATTATTTTTCTGTTGTATTCTTGTTTTCAATATTAATCACTAATTAACATAAATTAAATAGTTTAGAGAAAAATATTTAGAATTATCGAAAACATGCCAAATGATTCCAAATTGAATGTAAAACTTACATTCGAATCTCAACGAAATCTAGTAAATTGTACAATTATCCTAACTATATAAGCAAGTATTGACTGTCAAAGATTTCCTGTTGATGATAATATTATATATGATATCATTCATGAATGACATCGACATCAAAGAGAATCATATTTATTAGGATTAAAAAGTTCAGAAGAACAAGACAGACAGGTGAGGAGAAGGCACAAAAATGCTCGTGTTAAAGAAGTAAATATCTTATCAATAATATTTATATTCATTGTTACTCATTATATTTTATATACTTATAGAAAAGGTTACGACGAGCCAGAGTAATTGATCGATTACGTCAAGAAAAAGATCAACTAATTAAAAAATTTTCAAAAAATGAATTTCGTCCAATTATTGATGATAACTGATACCACTTAAAAGAAGGAAGTGAAACTAACTCAGATCATCCATATAATGAAAGATTAGTTGTCATTAAGGACATAAGTTGATGCTCTTTAACAGTAATTTTTAATTTTTAATTTGTTTATATGTATGTATATAGAACACTAATTGATTATTCTTAAACTTGTAAATTCTTACGAGATTATATTGATAGGGTATTTAATAAAACATCCAGATTCACTCATCAAAAAAATTGTATTCATGACAATAAACATTATATTATTAATGATGCTCCGTTTAGGGCTCCTGATTGGACTTTTTCCAGATATAATGGTCATTTAAAAAAATGTGTTGATGATGCTTGCAATCAATGTTATTCAAATATCTGAGAAGAATTAAATAATGATGATAATAGTAGTCAATAAAAAGGAAATTCAAAATATGATTCAGATGGGATTAATTAGTTTATATTTAAATATTTATATTAAATGTACTTATAATCTGGTAAAATTCAATAAATTAGTATAAATTACATTTTTATCAATATTCAGTAATCCAATCGAATTATACCAATTAGTAATTTAATATTATTCAGTTTGTAAATAAAGAAAAAAAAGCTATAATTCAGCATGCAATTCAGCCTAATTGTATACTTAATGATAGCTTTTTACTACATCCTAGATGATTTCTGAATGGAACCTGAATTTAGGCCATCATTAGATATAATTCAGTAATTACTGAATGACTCCTAATGATGCCAATTCGGGAATCATTAGGGTATTATTCAGATATCATTTATGTATTTTAATGATTCCCGAATTGGCATCATTAGACCAGTGACTATATAAAAAGTAAACATATGATAATTAGTTATTATTGCGTTATAAAGAAAGACTAGCAATGATCATGTATATAAGATTTTAATTAAAGAAATATGATCATGTTATGGATAAGTAGAAGGAAAGAGAGTATTAGTAAAACTATTTTTAGAGAAAAGTAGTTGATGAAGAAAATAAGCCATTTTTTTTACTAAGTTGTGAAATGTGAAGAGATTGTTCTTTTGTGATAGTAAGAGTGCATCTTGATTTTCATATAAGAGCGTAAGTTTGGTCAAAAAGAAATTTATAAAAGGAAGAAGTCTCTTTTCTTGTTAATTAAATAATAGTAGCAGAATATATAGCATCAAGAGTTTCTTCCAAAAAAAGAGGTTTGATTTTTACAACTACACTCATCATATTAGCAGTGATTAGTTAATAATTATGTGTCAAAAACAAAGCAATGAATATCTAAAATTTTATATATTACCCTTATCACCCTAGCTCCCAGCACTTCCCTAGCATTGAGTTGTTTCTCAAATTAGCTAATCAGATTCGGAAAAAAATATTACATATCATAGCAAGGGATGAATTTTTTATTCGCATGCATTGTAGATTAATTTACACAGAATTGCATATCAATTTCATAGATGAAGACAAAGTTCACTATGTGAACAAACTATTACTTTTTATTTATGTTTAACTACACAAAAATGAAAATTCTGGATACGCGTGTCCACTTTGCACAGTAATGTGGTGCCGTAAACGATTTATCATGGGTTTGTAAATCTTTTTATTATGTTTTAAATATACTACAGTTTCCAGAAAATTTTTTACGTAATAATTCACTTTTGTGTATCCATAATAAACTACATCAATATGCTAACTAACTATTAATTATTATTCATTAATCAAATTCTTAGTACGTCTTATACTCAGAGTCGTGAAAGTTGGAGGAGTTGCAATGGTTGGAGGCGTGCGAGACCCATCTTGCTTATCTGAATTCACATCTTTGCCGGGTCTAGAATATTATAAGCAATATCAAAGTCAAGGTTACATTCTTGTGCATCTTCGATCTCGCTATCGTCAAAGTCATTTGATTCGGTGGACTGTCTTTTCGGCTGAATCTAAAAATCGTAAAAAAAAGGTTATGAAAAGAACCATTGTAAACTAAATATTCCGTAATATTGCTCACCCTTTTTGAATCTTCTTTATTCGGAGGAGATATGGGTGGTGGTGTTCGTGCTCCCTCTGGTATTTCTTGTCCTGTTGACGCTATTTCTGAATTAAGAGATTCAAGAGGTCGTTTACTCGGTATGACTGATGTCAACTCTGGTATAACGTTGCTTAAGTTCTTTACTGCAGCACCAGTCAAAGCGGATGAGAATCTTGTAACATTATCAATCTGATGAAAGAGGTAATTTAAACAATGGCAAATAATACCATATCATAACATTTAATTGAAAATGAACAATAATCAAATTCATGGACTAACCTGTTCGCAATTTAATTTTGTATGCGCTAATTGCTCGAGATTCTTATATTCTAGGGGAATTCACAAATTATCAAGATCACTTCTAGAATTGCTTATCCTTTATAAGAAAAATAGGATTAATGTATCGTACATAATGGATATATAATAAATCTAATCCTTCCTAAGTACGCATATCGACATCGCGACAAAGCCATGCATCCAAAAAGGCATTCAGAGGATCAGCAAACAGTTGATTTCTCCTAGCATTAACAATTGTTGCCATACCTCCAAGCAGGCATTCGGAGGACCAGCAAACAGTTGGTTTCTCCTAGTATGGACAACAGTTCACAACACCGACTCACAAAAGTATCATAATAATATACTTGCCTTGTTTGCTAGAAGTTTTGCAGCTGCCTGATTCTTCACGTCATCTTCACAATCGTTAATAAGAGACAGTAGACTTTTTGTGACAACGTCATTTGCCTTTTGATAGCGTAGTTTTTTTGGATCGTCTTTATTCTAACGTATCCATTCTTTATGAAACCCTTAGATACTCCAATTACTAGCATCATAGTCGTCAAAATACCTATGCCATTCAGAACTTGTCATCTCGAAACAATATTAGAAATGTATCACCCCACGTGACCATATTTGCCGATCTTTCCTAAAATAAAATAAAACCTGGTGCAAATATCAAATATCTTTTAAATTTAAAAACTTATATATTATACGTATTTTTATCTGATCTACAAGTTTACTTAGGCAATAAAAGTAGGTTTACATATACAGATTTTGACTTTTATATGACCGTTTCTAAATGATTGATTTAACATAATTCGGCATTCTAAAACCCTTTTTTAACTCTAAGTAAACTTGCAGAGCGTAAAGAATTAGGTATATATATTTCGTTTCGAGATTAGATAACGTCTGTGGTAAGTTTTATTTAACAAAACAAAAAAAATTTTTCGTTAAAAATTTGGATTACCATTTTTAAAAATGATCGGTAAATTTTGGTCAAGTGGGGGTTAAAAAAGTGTTGGTGATACTGGATCACTGAAATGCGCAGTACAATATCAGTAAAATTCTTGCCAAAATGAATAGGGGCCGTGATTTGTATGGATACTTGCAAAAATAATCAGTCATAATAATGACTCTAGCATAGATGTCACGACTGATGATGAAACAACAACAGATTTGGGAATGTTTCAAAAAAGAGGAGTCGACTGTGAAGTTCGTGTAAATTAGTATAGATTTCGTCATGTATCATTAGTAAAGGGTTGCTAAAACAAACGATTCTGATTTATTTTTTATTAATAAAATGAGTCTTTACATTTGCAACATAACATTGAATAATTCACAATCTTGTGTGAAATTTTATTGATCATGTCAAACACTCAATCCAACGATTCATTAAGGGAATTAAATGTTAAGGTCGAGAATGATGAGCTTAAGGATAAGAATGCTGATCTTAGAAAGAGATCGATGCTGAGAGAGCTGAATTTAAGGCCAGGATTGCCGAGCTTCTAAAACAGAGTGTGGAAGAGGTAAGAGACGCGATATTGAGAATTCCAGTTGGAGGAAACAAGGCAGATTCTTCAGCTAAGAATGTTAGGCGTAATGTTGAGATTGCTGAGATTAAGGCCTCCATCAAAATTAAATTTTTTCAGGAAATATTTCCTTGTCATGATTCTAAAAAATATTTTGCCAATTCAGTTGAACTATCTATGCAGAAGCAAGGATTCAAGGGAGGGATATTTCTCTTGAGAAGGTTGTCAATGTACCTTAAATTGATTTTATCGATAACGTTGTCTTTCTATGTCACATGTTATTTCTATGTCACATATAACATGTGACTATTTTGCTGTAAAATGGAAGTATTAGAAGACGCAGTCGAGAATCTCTATGATAACTACAACAACGCCGCGATCAATCAGAATTATCCCGTTGTCGGACGCGTTTTTGTTCTCGAGTTCCTACACAGGAATGGTACTTTTGAAATGTTTGAAAGGAAACACGTGTTTAATTAATAGCCAGGCAAAAATACTAAGCTAAAATACGTATACTATCAAACAAAAGGTGGTAAATGTAATAATTAGAACAATTGGACTACAACATCATCAATTATTTAGCTGCAGGTTTTTCTTGTTTTACTTTACAATTCAGTTTCCCATTTGTAAACCATGTAAACTCTCTTATTGTAATTCTAGTTCATATTGACTATATTGCTTGAATAATTTAATAAATCAATATTTGCTAATTTGCTGTAAAAAAAGAACTTTTTTTCCGGTGTTGTGGTGTGCTTATAATAATTTGTTAATTTTATTTTTACCTTTCAACTAACAATCTTTCCAAGCGTGTTCCTACTCCCTGAATGTTGAGATTATAACTAAACAAGATTCCTAATCGAATACTTCATTGATAATTAGGAGAATGAGCGATCAACTTCAGACGAATTCGCCAGTAATCCAAGAAGGGATGATGCCAGGGTATCGGAACAAGAGATGGACATGGATAGGAGGCCAATGAGAAGGAAGCAGAAAATCAACCTGAGGAAACAGAAATCCAAAACCCATCATAATGTGTAATTATTAGTTTTAACATTGGTTTTGGACTTTTGGCATTAATTCAAATAAATTTTCACTCAATAAAACTTTGTATTTTCATAAACTGAAACTTTCAATCATTATGAAAAATTAAAATAATTTCATTATTGTTTTATATTTAAAAGTTTTTTTCTATTTATTACTATTTAAAAATATATGAAAATAATGAAAATATAGAATATTTTCATTTTTTTGAAAAATTTCAAGTACGTGAAAAATTTCTAAGATAAAGTTACGCAAAAATATGTGGCTGATGATGATTGATTTAAACCAATCATATTTGAGAAAAGGGGGATCTAACCCCTTTTGATGGTGATCCTGGGGAAGATATCATTGGCCAAAAATCACGTGGAAAGAAATTTTTTGTTGGCATTTTTTTTTTTTTTTTACTTCAAAACACGTATCAATGAAGCGGTTGACTTTGTTAATACATTCTTTTGAGAATTGTTCTGAATCTACGGAGACTTTTTAAAGGGTAAATATGTGTACTTTTATAGATTATTAAGCGTCTTCTATGATTTTACTACAACAGTATCGCCTTCTTATAACCATAAATATTATTACCCTTATAAAAGCGCATCATTTTTATAATTTATTGATTTACTGAGATTTTGTATTTTATTTTCTAGGGTGGGAAAGAAAATTTTACAAAATAAAGTAAGCCAGCTCTATCGGGAAAACATTTTTTGCATGCGCAAAATATTTCCAGTTAAAAATGAGTTCATTAAGTAAATGAATTAATTGATCATGAAGATTCAGATGCATCATTATTCTCAAGAAAAGATGAACCTTCAAATCATTAGAGGAACTTCTTCGTTAGCATTAGAACCTATACCGTAACAACATCTTATCAGCAACCTCAAGAAACAAGATGACGTATCGCCAGTATTGTTAACAGGACAGTTGGACTTAATAGGGACGAACTTGGGACATAGAAAATTTACAACTACGTTACAAAATTGCGTTTTCTTTAGATAATTTAGGACGCAACGCGTCAAAATTATTTAATTACACAGCTTTAAAAAATTTTACACTATCTTTCTATTGATGAGGATCTCTATTACGTTCATATTATAAGGAGGGAATGTGAATTGATGAAATTTGTTCTTGAATTTTATTTTTGATGGATTGCATCAGGTTTTACCAACCATAAAGGAATTGGATCATCAAAGTAAATAGTGTTAAAGAATTTTAAGGCATTATGATAGTTTTATTATAGTAACTAACCTGATGGTGACTTTTACCTAACTTCTTAATGGAGCTCTGTTGCAATGCAACTCAAATAACAAGCTTACCAACGCGATAAGGAATATCTAAGTTCGGTTCAAATCCGACGACGAAAAAAAATGTTGGACTACCGCTTCCTCGATGAATTTGACGTTAATGGATTTTGAACTATCATTATCAATTTGAATATTTTGTTGATTGACAATAATGTTGTGTAATTCGTAATGGTAGATAATTTCTGGTTCATTGAAATTGAACATTTCAATATGAATTGCATATTCTACGGAAACAAGCAAGTGGAAGAGGCAAGGATGTGTTGTTCAAGACTATGAATGTATCGCATTCTTGAAAGCTTCAAAAATACAATTATCCCCAATGTTTCTTAAAACATAAAACATAATTTCCTCGAGAACATATAGAAGCCGAGTTCTCTGCATAAATAAAAACACAAATTTTGAACAAGGATCGATTAACCTAGCTTTTAAACGCGTATTAATGACCTTCAATCAAGTACCGTCTATGACAAAGTTTAATTTCTTACTACCGACCAAATGCGCCTAAGGAATTAGGTTACGACAAATCAAAAAAAAAAAAAATTTTATTTTCGTGGTGAGTTCGCTTTCTATTAATCCTTTTGTAATTTAAGTTATAAATAATATATTAGCTAAAAATATTCTTTTGAACCAGCCCGCCTTTTTTATGTATGAATAAAAGAAGCAGGAAGAGACGAAAGTTGCGCCTGATTTCAAGGTCTTTCCGTCGAATCCAAATTAAATCATTAATATAAATTATCAAAGGTGCGATGGCAAGGCTATTAGTCGAAACCGAAAGTTAGGACATGAATAATGAAATATTCGCATGATAGTGTTTGTTTTGGAAATATCACGCGTAATTGCATGTTGAAACATGCATTTATCACTTGCCTTGCTCAAAACGAACAGATCAAAATGCCCATAAAATGTTTACATACATGGAAAGAAATTTGCCCCAAAATAAATGCACATTCGTATGCATGATTCATTAGTTGAGATTCTACAATGAAAGTATATTCCTAATAAATGCACCGGGTCGTACCTGAGTAAAAGATCCATCAATTAAAAAAAAACGAAGCAAACGAGTTCATTTTATGCCGTCGACAACAATGAATTATGCAAGTGTGACTTGGAAAAGTAATTCATATGACCTAAACTTTAGTATAATAAGTTTTCCCCTTAAACCATATCTAGAATTGGGAAGCCAAATCGTAATTATCAGAAAGTCACTTATAACCTTTGCGTGTAATTTTATTGAGTCGGGCTTAGATCCTTAGGAACAAGCTAAACCATAATAGGTCTAAACCCATGAACTAATCTTGTTTAAAAACCAGAATAATTTAATAAAAATGATGCGCCTAGCACGTCAGTAATGTAGCAAAAATAGCAAAAAAAAAAGCATTAAAAAATTTGGCGTAAAAAAAAAAAAAAAATTAGCGCGCTTTTTGACATGAACTTATATTTTCAAAAAACCACTGGACCATTTGAATTTAAACAATCACTTTATGCAATGTGTCATATAAATCCAAGTTTCTTTATTTCCTTAGTATCATGTGGAATCTAATGTGTGATGAGAAAATTTTCACCATAATTGATACACGACATACATTACATGAATCCTCTTTCCCCAAGGTCACTCGGTACACAAAATTCAATTATTTTTGTCATCAGATAGAACCCTTTCAATGAAAATTTGTCAGTAATTTCTCGTACACATATCGTATACATTAACTAGAGATGTAGTACT